TCGAGATTCACCTCGAGCATCAGATCGCGTTCGCGGCGACGATGAGAGCGCAGCACTGGTGCGACCCCGCGCCCGCGAACCGGTTCATCGCCGAGGCGAAGCTCGAGCACCCGATCAGCGCGTTCGACGGCAAGCTCGACATCGAAGACGCGCGCGTGCTGTGGAAGGCGATGCCCAACGCGGACGGCTCGCAGAAGGACGGCACCGCGCTCGCGAAGCTCCGACAGGAGGGCACGATTTTCGGTAAGGTCAGCGCCGCGCCGATCGAATACCCGGGCGTGTCTCTCGTGATCGACGCGTCCGTGGAGGTGAAGATCGCGTACTCCCCCGCGGGCGAGTCCGCGACCCCCGCCGGCGAGGGCGACGGCGGCGACGACGCGGACGCGTCCGTCGTCGTCGCGCCGGTTCCGGCGTCGAACTCGAAGTTGAAGCTCGACGGCACCTCGGTGAAAATTAAAGCCGCCCTGGAGGTCATGGGGACCGCGAAGGCTGGTCAGAAACCGATGCTGACCGCGAACCTCGAGGGCGTCGCGAAGCCGTTCGACGACGTCCCCGTGACGCTCAACGGCGACGGCGTGATTCGCTTCCCGGGGAAGTCCGCCGGGGACGCTCCCTCGGAGTTGAACATGAAATTCGCCGCGGAGTTTTACGGCGAACACCTGCCGAAGAGCGTCAGCAAAGGGAAGAGCGCGACGTTCACGGCGTCTATGCAGATGGGGAGCTCTTCTAAAGGAGGGTCTACAATATATGGGTTTAAAATCACGCGCATGTCCGCTGTCGGGACGCTGTACGGCGCGCTGGGCGGCAAAAGCGGCCGGGGCGCGAACGCGATCGGCCTCGCGGAACTCAGCGCCGGCGGGGACGACGCCGCGGTGTCGGCCTTGGGCATAGGACGCGACGCGCGCGCCGGGAGCGTCGTCGCCGAGGCGAACACGGCCACGAGCACGCCGTCGATCACGGCGCCGACGCTGCCGGCGTTGTCGTTCGACATGCAGGACCTCAACGGCGAGATCACGTTCAGAGGCGACGTCGAGCTGACCGCGCAGCAACGCGTCGACGCGGTCGAGTCCGAACCCGCGGGCGGGTTGGACGCGTCCGTCGCGGTCATCTGGAAGGGAGTCCTCGCGCGCGAGCCCGGAAGGAACTCAGAGTGGCGCGTAACGTCCGGCGAGCTCGCGTTTTCCGTCGCCATCGCGTACGAGACGCCGCAGCTGTCGATCGACTTGAGAGCGGAGGGGAACACCGCGTGCCGCGAGGACGCGGACCCATGGCGGCTCCAGGGGAGCGTCAAGGTTCCGAGGCTCAAAGTAGACACGATCGCGGAGGCGACGTACGCGTGCGCGACGAGGAAAGTGGAAGCGAAGCTGCGCGTGCCGTCGGTGAACATCGAGACGGGCGGTTTAACGCTGAAGATTGACGACGTGAAGGTTGACTTCAAAGGCACGGTGACGCGGTTCCCGGTCGAATCCGCCCGGGGAATCGCGACGGGGACGACGAGCGCGGACGCTTCCAAAGGCGAGACCGCAATGGACTGGACGCTCGAACTCTCCGGAGCGATCTCGATCCAGACCGGCGACGCGGGGATGCCGATGATCGACGGCTCCGCGACGGTCAGCGCGCTCGTGAGCAACGTCAACGCCACGGGCGTCGCGTCGGACGCGAACGCGACCAAGAGAGCGGCGCTGCTGACGACGGGCGACGCGTCCGCGCCGCCGTTTGAGTATAGAGAAGTCTCCGTCGACGTGCACTTCGAGTACGCGCTGAACGGCGTCGAGATCGTCGCGGACGCGTCGTACGACTACCCATGCCGAGACGCCGCGGAAGGGTCCGCGACGATCTCTTTCGACGAGGAGAAGACCGGGATCGCCGTCGCGCCGGTGAAGGCGGCGGTGAGCGTCCCGTGCGGAGGCGGCGCGAGCGACGACCCGAACGCGGACGCGACGATATTCATGATCGTCAAGGGCGAGATCCAGAACTTGAGGCTCACGGACGCGATCGTCGTCGACGGCGTGTTCGTGACTGTGACCGGGCGGCGCGCCCCCGACGGCGGCAGGAAGACGTGGACCGTCGAGCTGAAGACGACGGCGGGGATAAACGCGGAAGCCGCCACCGCGGCGCTCGCGCCCTCGCCCTCGCCCGCGTTTGTCTTCGACATGGACGCCACGCTGTCCATCGCGACGCCCGCGCCGGACGCGCGCGAGCGCGCGACGCCCTCTTTCGCCGTGAACGCGAAGGGGATGGCGACGTACGCGAGCGAACACGCGACGATCGTCGCCGTCGGCGCCTTTCATTTCGGCGCGTGCGCCGAGGCGCCGACGCCGACGCGCGCGGACATGTCTGGGAACGTGAAGCTCACCCTGCCGAGCGTGAAGACGCCGCTGGAGCTCACCGCCACGGTCGCCGTGAAGTGCGTGGACGACTCCACGGAGTTTTGCCGCGCGTTGGACGTCGTCGACCCGATCGACGCGCCGCGCCGCGAGACGGAGGACGCGATCGAGGCGCTGACGGCGTCGGCGCGCGAAGAGTACTCGTACGCGGCGCCCGTGGAGAAGGGCACGTTCACGGAGGTGAAAGTCGCCGGGACGCTGAAAGAGCCGATGGATATTGTCGAGGGCGTGATGCGCGCGATGACGCTCACCGCGGACGTCGTGATGATCTTTCCCGAGGCGGAGAACGCCGGGTTGGTGAAGACGCGATTCCGCGGGAAGTGCGCCGGCGCGGGGGAGCTCGTGGGCGAGCTCCCGAACGCGGACGCGATGCGCCTGAAGGGCTCGGCGCTGACGTTCGAGGTGCATTTCGCGACGGACGATCGCGGGGCGTTACAACTCGGAAAGTTCAAGATCACGCTGACCGTCGAGATCAAGTATTACATGAGCGGCGGCGGCGGCGCCATTCCGATGTCGACGCCGGCGGCGCCGCCGGCGCGGACGAGCGGCGCGACGGGTCCCGCGAACTTGGGCGGCGAAGAAATCGCCGGGGACTTGGGCGAGACCGTCGGCGTCGCGAGAGCGGCGGTGGCGGCGTCGACGCCCCCGGACACGCCCCCGAACATCTACCTCAAGTCATTCGCGACGTTACAGTACCCGTGCGGGTTAGACGAGACGCAGAACATGGACGCGGAGCTCGCGATTCGCTTCGGGCGCGTCAACGTCGAGAACGTTCGCGCGAAGTTTGTGTACCACTGCGCGCGCGTCGGGCCGAAGCTCCCGGCGTTCACGCTCGTCGCGGACGTCGGCTGCGACGACACCGCGGAGGGATGCAAGGGCACGGACGCGGTCGAGATCGTCCCGAACGTGTTGATTCGTAACTTCAACGTCGAAATCAAGGGGAAGTTCATCGACGGCGCGACGGAGTACGTCGGGAAACTCAAAGGACAGATCGCGCACGCATCCGCGTCGTTGGCTTTCGGCTTCGATTTCAACACGCAGTTGGGGATGTACGGGATCGTCACCGCGATCGTGTTCGAGAACGAGTACGTCAAGGCGACGCTGGACGCGCGTTTGCGCGTCGGTGGCGACTGCGGCGCGACCGCGTCCGCGTCCGCGACCCCGGGCCCTGCGGCGCTCGGCGCGGCGGCGCGCGTCCGCGGCCTCGTCGCGCACCTCGGGGAGAAGACCGGAATGACGCCCGAAGATTTCCAGTCCCCCGCGGACGCCGCGCCGGACGCGATGAACACGCTGTCTGGTAAAATTGCGATGAAGCTCCCGGGGATGACCGAGATGACGGTGTCCGTGAACGGGCACACGAAGTGCGACGTCGAGGACGCGCGCGAACCCATGGTGGACGTCGTCGGAAGCATGGGCGACGTCGCCGTCGCGATCAGCGAGGATTACAAGCTCGTCGTCAAACGCACGGGCGTCTCCCTGCGCGGGTACAAGAAGAGGCACGGCGCGAAGGGGGCGAGCGACTTCAAGCTCGCCACCCCGGACGATTTCAAAGAGCTCTCGTACAGGGTGAAGGTGCGCGGGACGCTGTCGCTGACGCAGAGCACGGGCCTCCCCGAGCTCGGCGCCGGGTACGACCAGACGGACCGCGACGAAGAGGCGACAGAGGAGGAATTGGCGGCGGCGCGGGGCGAGTCTGCGTCTTCGAAGTCTTCGTCTTCGACACCCCCCGCGCCCGACGCCGTCGTCGTCGGCGCGGACCTCGGCTCGGAGACGGGCGCGTACGCGATGGCGACCGTCGTCGCGACGTTCGACGGCGACGCCGCCCCCAAGGTGGACTCGGCGGTGATCCAAGCCGCGATGCGATACGCCGCCGGTCCCCCGGAGGCGCCGATTTTCGAAATCGCGGGCGCGCTCGAGTTCAATTACCCCTGCGCGGCGGGCGTCTCCGTCCACGTCGACGCGACGATGAGCTTTCACTACCTCTCCGTGGTGAACGTGGACGATCTCGTCGCGTCCGCGACGGTGCCGTGCGGCAGGGCGTCCGCGGAGGTCCCGGTGGCGACGGTGCATCTGACGCTGGCGCAACTGAAAGTGCAGCACGTCCTCGTGAGCGACGTCGACTTATCCGCGGACGTGTTCCAAACCTCCGGCGGGTTTGGGATCATCGGGACGATCACCGCGAGCGCCAAGTCCTCGGACGCGGCGGCGGCCGCCGCGCTCGGGCACGAGCTCTGGGGCGATCACGTGTCGTCGCTCGGGCACACGCACGCGTCGTTGAATGCGCACGTCGCGAGCCTCGGCGATTTCGACGCGACCGTGACGTTCGAGTTTAACACGATTCAGAACACGTTCAAGGTTGCCGCGAGCATGCGAATCGACGTCGGCCCGCTGAAGGGTACGATCTCGGTCGCGCTGACGTCCGCGGAGGAGTGCGACCCAGTGGATGGCGATCACATCGTCGGCATAGGGACGCTCGCCGTCGGCGACGGCGAGTCCGACGTGACCATCTCTGGCGTGAAGAACTGCGGCGTCGCGTACGCGAAAAAGATGCGCGCGGATCCGAATAACGAACCCGTCGCCGTCGCGCCCGCGTACCACGCCGCGCTGCGACGGATGCTCGCCCCCGTGGGCGCGGCGAATCAGCACCCCAAGTGCGTCGACGACAGCGGCTTGTGCGGCCCCGATTTTGGCGGCCGCGTCTGCGACGCCGGGCGGTACTGCGTCGGCGGGATGTGCCGGTACGACATCGAGAGCGAGGAGGCCCGGGCGACCGCGCCGGAGCCGCCGCCGTCGCCGCTCGCGCCGCCGGCGCCGGCCGCGCCGACGCTCTTGCCGTCCGATCGCCAACCGGACGACCTCCTCACGAGCCAGATACCCGTCGTGGATGCGAACGGGCGCGTCGACGACTCCGCGCTCGCGCCGCGCACGAAGCAGTGCTGCCACGGCGAGGGCAAAGGCTCGGAAGGCATCGTCGCGAACTCGAACAGGTGCTGCGACCAGAAGACGCTGCTCGTGACGACCGGGAAGCAGTGCTCGGCGACGAACAAGTGGTGCGACTCGGGCACGCCCGGGAGCTGCCTCGTCAGCATACCCGAGGACCGAAGGTGCGCGGCGTCGAGCGCCGCGCTCGGCGCGCCGGTGCCGGACCACCACCCGTACGACCGCGGCGCGCGGCACAGACGCTTCATCGCGTCTTTAGGAGGTGGCGGGACATCAAAGTCAGACGACGACCACGACCACGACGCCGCGGCGGCGGACCACCACTACCCGCAGTTCTCGAATAACTTCGCCGGGTCGTGCGGTCGATGCAGCGCGGACGATAAGTGCGGCCCGGACCACGGGAACACGATCTGCCCCGGGAACCGCGTCTGCATCGGCGCCGGGGCGCGCAAGGGCACGTGCGTCGTCGAGAGCGCGAAGGACCCGATGCCGTCCACGGTGCTCGACGCGATGTTCCGATTCTCGAACAACTACGGGTACCACTGCGTGGCGCCGCCGTGCGCGCACGACGGCAAATGCGGCCCCGACAACGGCGAGAAAGTCTGCCCCGCGGGGGAGACGTGCAAACCGAACGGCGAGTGCGAAGGCGCGAAGAAAGCCGCCGCGCTCGGCGTCGGGTCGAGCGACGACGCGCTCCTCGCGTCGTATTCAAACAACCACCTGAACGCGTGCCCGAAACGTGCGGCGACGTGCGCGATGAACCAGTTGTGCGGCCCGGAGAATGGCATGCAAGTCTGCATGAGCGGCCAGACGTGCGTCTCGGGGCGTTGCGTCATGAACTACGTGTTCGAGTCCAAGAACTACCCGAGCGAGGACGTGCAGCCGCGGTACAGCGACAACGCGAAGGGCGCGTGCAACAAGTGCGCGGGCGGGCACCGCGCCGCGTGCGGCGGCGACAAGAAGCTCCGGTGCCCGGGGACGTTGCGATGCGCGGTTCCGAAAGTATCCCCGAACGCGACCGCGATCGCCGCGGACGCGAGATCGAACGTGGACCACTCGGGGCTCGTGAAGCCGAAACCGAAGCCGTCGTCCGAGGCGAACTCGTTCAAGGACCTGACGTCGAAAACCGGCGCGTCCGCCCGTGGCGCGACGTTCGGCGACGCCGTGTGCCTCACCCCCGAGGAGATCGCGGAGATGAAGATCGCGCCCGCGGAGATCGCGACGCACCCGGACGACGCGGAGAACGACGACGCGTGCGACCGCCCCGAGCTCGTCGCCGTCCCGGAGTTTATCTCCCGCGTCGTGTACAAGGACACGTTCGCCGCGGTGCCGCCCGCCGCGCCGATGGACCACGTCGTCGTGATCAAAGAGAAGGACCCGGATCACCCCGGGCGCGAGATTGACGTCCCGCACCGTCGCTACGTCATCGCGTGCGCGACCCCAAAGCCGGGGCTGAAGACGCCGGAGGGCGCGCCGTGCGGGAGGCTGGGCGCGTTCGCGGAGACGGTGTGCCCGCCGACGTTTCGATGCGTCGACGGCGCCGCCGCCGCGCGCGTGGGCGCGGCGGATCTCGCCGCGTACACGCCGCGGCCGAAGAACGTCTGCCTCGCGGACGACAAGGACGTGAAAGCGCACGAGCTGTACGAGTACCCGAACGCGGACGACCCCGGACGCGCGACGGACCTCTGCGACGCGGAGTCGATGATCGCGAAGAAGTGGATCGCGCGGACGTCCAAGTCGGTCGCGTCGCACGAGGCGAAGGACGCGGCGGCGGACCACGTCGGCGAGACGATGACGTACGATCAGCTGTTCGAACCGTGCGGGCCGACGCACGGCGGCCTCGTGTGCTCGGACGCGAAGATGTCCTGCGCCGCGATGGCGGGCGTGTGCTTGCCCACGATCGAGGCGATCACGGGGCAGTACGACTTGTTGAGAGAGTACAGCGCGAATTTTGGCGCGTTCGCGAGCGAAACAACTGCGGCGGCGATCGCGAAGAAGCGCGCCGAGGCCAACGTCGCGCGCGTCGACGCGGTCGTGAACATGGATGGCGTCGCCGTGCGCGACTTCCCCGCGTACGAGCTCAAGGTTGAGCTCGCGGAGGCGTCGTTTTTGGGCGGCAAGGTGAAGCTCGCGGGCGTTGTCTTCGACGCGTACGGCGCGTACGTCAACGAGGCGGACGATAAAGCGTGGGTCGCGTCGCAGAACGCCGCCGCGGAAACGCCGACGCCGCCGACGACGACGACGCCGACTCCGAAGTCCACTTCTTCGAAGGTTGCCGCCCTCGGCGGCGATTTCGACGACTTGCACTGGGACGGCGAGATGACCGGTGCGATCGTGATGTCGACCTCCAACGCGGGCGGCGCCCTCCCGAGGATCGAAGGGTCGTTCTTCGTGACGTCCGCGTGGGCGAAACCCCCGCGCGGGAAATACGAGATGAGGGGCCTCCTCGCGGAGGGCGAAGTCCGCGCCGCGTTCGGCGGCGACGCGAAAGCGCCGAGGGTCACGATCAAGGCGAAAGCCGCGTTCCCGGTGCCGTGCAAGAAAGAATTCGCGTTCCCCGCGTCCGGGTCGCTCGTCATGCGCAACCTCGGCGGCGGCGTCAACGGCGTCATGAAGATGGCGGCGACGTACTACTGCGGCGAGCAACCGGACGCGAGGATCGCGGATTACAGCGCGAAGCTCACGGAGCCGATTGAAATCGCGGGGATGCTGACGCTGAAACACATGGACGTCGTCGGGACGCTGTTCCGCACGTTGGGCGGCGAGCAAGACGCGGAGGACGGTCCTCCGTCAAAAAACGTCGATCCGGTCGCCCTGGAGGAGGCGCGCGTCGCGTCTTCGCTCGCGAACGCTTCGTCCGTCCCGACCGCCGCGAAGCCTCTGGCGTCGGACGTGGCCAAGTCGAAAGCGTCGCTCGCCGCGCGCGCGCGATCCGCGGACGGCGAAGACGCCGTGGACGACGAGACCGGCGTGCGCGACAAGATGCAAGGCAAGCGTTCGTCGAGGTATTACACCAAGGGAGTCATCAAAGGCGAGGTGTCGATTTTGTCGCGCCTCAAAGGCCTCGCGATCGCCGCGGCGGTGAACTTCGACACGTCGCTGGGCGCCGCGGAGGTTGTCGCCGCGATTCGGTTCAAACGCGACGAAGTCTTCGCCTTCGACGCGCGCGCGCGCATTCCGATCGGGTACTGCGACGACGCCGGGACGCGGATGATCGGGACCGTGATGGTGAACGCCGCGCCGTTCGACGCGATCAACGTGCACGGCACCATGGTCCGACACTGCGAAGGCGCGACGAGGGCGACGGAGAAGCACGGCCACGTCTGGCGCGTCCGCGTCGCCGCCGATAGGCTCGAGGCGTTCGACGGCGCGCTCGTCGCGAAGCAGTTGACGCTGACGGTGACGGGGAAACAGACCGCGCCGGAAGACGCGGGCTTATCGTGGTTCCTCGACGCCGAGGGTGCGATCGAGCTCGGGAAGCCCGCGAACGCGGCGAACCCGAGGGCGCCGTCGATGCTTTCGAAGGTCCGCGCGGAGGCGTCGTTCAAAGCCGGCGTGTCGCTCTCCACGAGGACGCTCTCGTATTTCGACGTCAACGCGACCGCGGACTTCCGCGTCGGTTTCGACAAGTTGACGAACTCGCCGAAGATCGCGATGCGCGCGAACATGCGATTTTCGTACCCGTGCACAGCGCCGTTCACCGCGAAAGCGACGGGCTCGATCAACCACCTCGGCGGTAAGGCTGGCCTCTCCGTCGCCGACTTGGCCGTCGATCTCGTGTTTTACTGCGACGCGGGCGTCTCCGAACGCCAGATGTCGTTCGTCACGACCGTCCGAGGCGCGACGATGAACAGCCAGGAGGTCGACCTGGAGATCGCCGCGAGCGCGTTTAACATCCTCGACCCGGACGCGCTGCCGATCGAGACGGGCGCGCTGAACAGAGGCGACGGCGAAGCCGAGCGGTGGTACTGGAAGGGCACGATCAAAGCGAGCGCGGGGATCGTGCTGTCGAAATCCGCCGAAGCGAACTTCGGTTCGCAGCTGTTTTTCAACACCGCCGTGCATCCCTTGAAGCTCATCGCGGTGGTGAAACTGACGATCGAGACGGACGCCGTGAAGATCCAAGTCGAGGGCGAGACGTCGACGACGTGCGAGGACTCCGGCTCGGAGCTCACCGGCTCGCTCACGGTGAAGAAAGGGGCGAACCTCCCGTTCAAGATGCCCGTGATTTCGGTCGCGATGACGAAGACGTGCAAGCCGTACGCCGCCGCGGTGTACTCGCTCACCGCGAACTTGTCGCCGGAGGAAGTCGAGTCGTTGAACGAAGGATACACATCGCCGGCGTCTGAGCAGCCCGCTTCGAAGGAGCCCGCGCCGGCGAAGATGACGCCGACGCCGACGAAGCCGACAACGAAGCCGACGCCGACGACGCCGACGAAGCCGACGCCGACGCCGTCCACGAAAGCGACGCCGACGACCCGACGCCTCCTGTCTACGCACGCGCACCCCGCGTCGCCGGTCGACTCGTACGCGATCATGATGTCCGTGCCCGCGTCGACAGACGTCTACGGCGTCGTCGAAGCGCTGCACGACGACCTCGCGACCTTTGGCGCGTCCGACGCAGCGCCCGCGACGACGACGACGACGCGTCACGACTCCTCCACGGTGCGCGTCCACGGCGTGTCCGCGGAGACGTGGCGACGCGCCATGCACGACGTCTTCCATCGCGAGCTATCCTCCAGGCTCGGCGCGGACCCGGCGCGCGTGCGCGTCGTCCCGTCCGCGACGTCCGACGGCGACGTGCAGCTCGCGATTCGCGTCCGGGGTGTTACAACCGTTTTGGCGCCGTCGCGACGCGCGCACGAGATTTCGCATTCCCATCGTCTTGACGTTCGGGGCTTCCTCGGTCCGGACTACGGCGTCGCCGGCGCGCTGTCGCGCGCGGCGGCGCTCGCGGACGCGCCGGCGGCGCCGACGTTCGCGTCCGGGCACCACGCGAGCGCGATCCACGTCGTGACGCGGTGCAACGGCACGCGGACCGCCGAGGCGTACGCGCCGTCGCCGAAGCTCCGCGCGTTTTTTACGTCAGGTTACGGGCTCGACGCGGACGCGGACGTGCACGTCGACCGCGTCTTCGGCGCGGCGGCGTCGGCGCCAGCGCCAGCGCTCGGCGCGTCTTCCGCGATCGCGCGCCTCGGCGACGACGACGCCGCGGACGCGATGAAGATGAACTCGTTGATCGTCACGCTTCGCGGGCGTAAGATCGCGGCGTCGGATCCCGACGACGCGGCGCACCTGGCGTGGGAGTTTGACGTCAACGGCAAGTTTGAATTCAAACGCGACGCCGGCGCCGGCGCCGCGTCGATCGTGCCCGCGTTCATCCCGCGAGACGCGTCCCTCGAAGTCTCGTACGTCTCCGCGTGGAACGGCGC